ACAATTCTTGAAGAGCAGCACGATAATGAGCTCTGGCGCGCACTCGGACTCGCCCTGCAAGCCAGTGTGCGGGGTGGAAAAGAACTCGTCCTTGTCGTCGATGGAGCAGACGAAGCCAGCTGCGCACAAGCCGCTCTGGTCAAGCAGATCAAAGACGCGACTCTAAAGGCGTCCACTCTAAAATTGATTATTCTTGGCACACAGAAGCAAGAGACGTCCACTGCACAGACAGCGGTGCAAATCACCCCTGAGCTGACTTTCGACGACGTGGCCGCGGTCGTCCATAGGATCTTTCAACTTTGCCCTGCATTTGGTGAGCTGTCCGAAGAACAGCGGGAGAGCACAGTAGCCCAGATTGCGGAAGCAGCCAATGGCTCCTTCTTGTGGGCCAAGCTGGCCACGAAAAAGATCAGAGACGAGCTCCCGCCTCACGGTCAAGGGCTGGTGAAAGCCGTTGATGCGCTGGTCAAGGCAAAGCTCTCTATTACGGACCTTGTCGTGCATCAACTCGACTCTAAAGTGTCAGACGAGGCAAAAAGAATGTTGGTTTGGCTCGCCACTGCTGTCCGTCCTCTGACGCTACGGGAGTTGTCTGCCCTTTTGTCTGTTCGAGTGGATAAGAGCAGCATCGCGAAGACAGGGGAGGATCCGCTCACGCTTTTGCGGCCCCTCGTGTCTCTGGTCTTCTGCCAAAATAACATGGTCTCCTTGCGACATGGACAAATCCGCACAGCCATCATAGACACCGTCAACAAAAGCAAACTGTTCCCAACCGTCGGGAATAGGCATGTGGATCTCGTCCGCAGGTTGCTGCTTTACGTCAAGCTCAATGTGACAGATCAGCAGGAACTGTCTGAGGCACCACTAAGCTCTCACAGAACTTCCAAGATGCTGGAGCGGTTCCCACTTCTTGATTTCGCCCTTCGGTACTGGGGAACTCACGCGAGAACCGCACTGGGGAGCGAGACGGATCAGCAGATCCGCACAGTAGCAAAGGAATTGGGTCCATTCCTCCCCCCCAACCCAGTTGTGCCGCTAATGGAGATGACAATGTGGCAAGCAAAATCCACTCCGGTGCTGAAGTCGCTGCACAGTGTCCAGGTCCGCCTCTACCAGCAGATACTCACCGTCAATCATCCCGCAACTCAGCAGGCGATCATCTGTCAAGCGCTCTTCTATCGCGAGATACGAGATATAGTGCCATCCGAAGCTAGCGATATCTTCTACCATGCAGCGCGTATATGCCACAAGGCGCTCTCCGCCCAACACGTCATCACCAGGAAGATGGCCCAGGACTTCCTCGACAGCACTGCCGATCAGGTCACCAAGGCGCGGACGCAGATAATGATACGACGAACTGAGATGTTTCAGCTCCTTGTCGAATGCTACAAGGTCCAGTATGGACAGCATAGTAGCATCGTCATTTCGACATTGAATCAACTGGTAGAACATTTCAAATATATCGGCGAAGAACCCAAAGCGCAGCAAATTGCAGATTTGCTGCAAACAAGCCTCACAGAGAGCACTACCTCTCAGTCAACAGTTTCCCATCATTCTGACGAATCATTGCTCGTTCATCTCCATGGTCGAAGGCCTAGCGTTCAGGAAGGCACAACCTTTGCTCTAGACGACATCGAAGCTGATGAGCCTATCCCGCAAGCAGTGGACACTCAGAGCTCCCTGTACCGTGAGATTGAGAGCCACGTGCAGTCCATCAAAGAGGAGACAGCGAGCTGGTCCGAGTCCAAAACAACAGAGTCGAGTTTTCGAGAAATCATCTCCAGCACATCGGCCACGCGCTCCTCTTTAATCGGAGCAGCTCAGAGCCTCGCAGAGATTTACTGGTCTCGGCATCGATGGAAGGATGCAACCAAAGCTCTAAAGGCAGTTCTGCGCCGTGTTTGGCCGTCCTTTTTCAGTCCATCGGTCCAGGACGTGGTGCTTCCATCTGAGAACGTAGATCAGTGCGTCGACCTGGCAGAGCGGCTGAGGGTCTGCTATCGCTTCAAAGGCAGTGCAGCAAAAAGGGAGAACGTCTCCCTTCGTCTCTATCACGCCGTGCGGCGAGGCCGTCCTGTTAGAGATGAACTGCGCGAGCGAGTCACGCGGGACCTTCTGCATTTGTATGAGCGTAAAGGTCAGACTGACAAGCTGATCCTCATCCATCAGGATGTCCTAGACGACTTGACCAAGAAATTTGGAGATGATCATCCAGCGGTCCTCAACGAGCTTCGGATTTTAGCGGACCGTGCACGGCCGCGCTCAGCTGCCGTCGGCTACCATCGCCGAATCGTCCAGATTCTGAACAAACACGCCGACACCTGTCACCCGGACGCTTTCGAGTCTCTTCTCATTGTAGCCACGGAGCTTTTGGACCAGGGGCAGTACTCGGAGGCACGAGAGACCTGGAGAACCTTGTTCAATACCCTCCAGCACCCAAACATTAACCCGAAGCTTCGAGACCAGGGATTCGTCAAGTCGGTCTATGAGCAGTACACTCAGTGTCTACGTATGACTCATGCAGAGCTCCCTGTGATACATGACGTGACAGCTCAGTATCGCGAGACCTGCGAGACCAGGTTCGGGGCCTCCGCCTCAATTACCCTCCAGGCCATGACCAGACTGCTGGAAGTCTGTCGGGAGTCCAAGCGATACGAAGCCGAAGTCGTCCACTTGTGCGAACAACTTCTCAGGGCTCCATCTGTCGAGACCGAGATCGACCAGGAGGAACTCCAAGCCATCCTGGATGCTCATTACGAAGAGCAATACGCCGCAGTCTCATCGGCCAGTGCCGAGTCTGTTTCCACCGAGCAGATACAGCGAGTGATCACCATCCGCAGGGAACGGTTGACCACTATACGGGCTACCTACGGATGGGCTCACGAGACCACCCTGTCCGAGATGAAAGAGCTGGTTGCCCTGTATATCAAACGACGGGAGACGCAAACCGCCGTGTCGATGCTTCAAGAAGCAACCTTACGAATTGTTTCAAAGGAAAACTCAGCATCTAGACTCGCTGCTGCTGCCCAGACCATTGCGTCATGCTACATCGCAACGGGTCAGCTCCGACGCGCAAAGGAACTCTGTGAGGAGCTCTACCGTAAGATTGTAGTCAAGGAATCCGGCTCCACAAATTTCGTCCTGCCTTCCGGTGGCCGTCAGAGCTTGGTTTTCCTCGCGCATTTTGAGCACAGTCTTCAGGAACAGAAAGAACCCTCGCTCACAGTAAGCGAGATCTATTGGTCCTTGTGTGTTGAGTACGTTTATTTTGAGCGATACCGATCAGAGGCCCGCTCCAAGTCCAGTACTCTGGAGAGCATTGTGGGCACTGCCGCTCGTCTGTACGGACTCCTTCGCGCAAGAAACCAGGAGTCGACGGCTGCCCGTCTCATAGACGATCTTACCAACTCCTTCGTCACGTCCCAGAAGGAGAAAGTCCAGGTGAGCTCCGGTCAGGCCAAGGCCTTTATCGGCACTCTTCTCGAGTACTTTAGCATGTACAGCAGTAAGAACTTCCTGCGGTCTGTAGCGATCGCAAGCTACCGCCGTGTGACGCAGCTCCTCACCACAAGAGACTACCATGCTGCCTGTGATCTAGCGGTGACCGCATTCAAGTACATCCAGGCGCACAACGGACTCTCGTCCTCGCTAAGCGTGGTCAAGCTCCTCTTCAATCTTGGTCTAGCCATCTCCGGGCAAGGTCTGAACCCGCGTCCAGACTCAGCAACAAGAAAGCAGATGCTCAGCGCAGCAGGCACCATCATGAGCGCCACGCTCGGCTACTGCAAGCAAGCCAACCTCAACCTCACGCGCCTGGACCTGGTGACGCTGAACAAGCTGATCAAGCTCCTGGACGCAGAAAGTGATTATGGCAACCTAGCCTGGCTCCTCACAGGGCTCTGGAACAACCGCGACCAGCACCCGCCCTCGCAGCAGGAGGCAGCATACACACTGGCCCTGGGACGCATGCTCGTCATCACCCGCTATCTGATGGGCGAGTACATGGCCGCCATCCGACTGGCCGAAGACATCGCCTACAACTGTGCCCGCGTGCATGGCCCCCAGCACCCGAGCACCGACGAGATGAACATTCTCCTGGCACAGATGTACACCAGCGTGGCACAGGGATACCAGGGCCACAAGGAGCGCCGCGAACTCGCATACCGGTACTACAAGAAAGCCGCGGCGCTGCATGAGAACGCACTCCGAGCCTTCATCGATCCCACCACCCTGGCTTCCCTAGCCATAGATGAAGGAGCGAGCTCGTCCGGCTCTGAGTCCGGACCGCCTAGTCCCGGCGAGAGACCCGAGGAGTCGGGCAAGTATGTCCGGCAGCACCTGCATCTACTCAAGCTAGCGGTTGAGCGGCTGGGCAATTGGCCCAAGGATTATAAGGAGTACGAGAGGCTCAATTCCGCTCTGTTCCAGACGTTTGGAGACTATCTCAAGGGCGTTGAGGGTGTGGACAAGTGGAATTTGAAGAACTTTGGATCTGGTCGTGCGGAGGCCAGTGACGATTTGATTTCGCCCAAATCACATCCTGCGTTCGGTCTGGGTGAACAGTTTGCGATTGCTGTTTGATATCTTGATTGTACCTTAAAAGTGATTGAACCAGTTTCGTATTCGCTTGTTTCTGCCTTTTTCCGCTGTTTGACTCCATGCTGTACCTAAAAGTCCATCGAATCCATACTATCTTCACATGTTTGTCTTCTTTGTGCGCCTCAGGTCTCTTGTTGTAGGTAGAATATATCAAGGCGGCAGGCAGAAAAAGAACAATTTCGCTCAACAAGCTCTCAAACAAGTCAAGTTTTCTCTCTGCTGAGCGTGGAAAACGAGGCAGCCTGCAGTATCCCATTGAATAATTCCTTGTGCACCAGTTCTGTCATTTTCCAGTTGTTTAAGGGTACTCAACCATCTGATGCGGTGTTGGAAAACCCACCGTGTCACTGTAGGATGCACAATGTTAAAAGCTTGCAATATATTGACCGTCGACCTTGCCATTAATAGAACCCAGGGCGATGAAAATTGATGCTTGTTTTGCCCACCACCTTGCCCTGTGAGACGGCTTCAAATTTCAAAACCCCCTCTTGAGCACCGAAGACGACGTTCACATCATATTGAAGCTTATAGAGTGGCGTACCCAGCAGGCTCTTCCGTTCAAATGTGGAGAGATCGAGCTCAGTAAAGTCTACGGATATATTTCCAACGCTGCGAACCCCTGCCAGCCTAGTGTCAGTTACAGCACGCAACGGGGCATCAGGAAGACCCACCAGGATGTTCGACTCTCTCTGGAGCATGGTCAAGATCGCTCGAGTAGAGCGTGAGATTTGCCTTCAGCGCTTCCCCCTCCAAATGGGACCGAAAGAGGGAAGCTGTGCAGACATGGTTTTCGGCGTATCTCTCCCCCTTTGAAGAATCGTCAATCGCCAGTTTATATACCTGAACATTAACCGGCAATAACACACCTTGGTAATCATCCATTTCATAACCCCTGAAGCCATTTTCTTTCCAGTAAATCTGTCATAGTATGCGTTTGTGTCTTGATCTTGGCCTACACGAAATGGAACACTCCATGACCACCCATAGTTTCGGCGACATCTTTTGGTGCTGGACCGGAGACCTTCAAGGCCACGAAGGGCTGCACCCTGGACGATGGCAGCTTGCCTGATGTATTTCCCGTCAGATTCAGCACAAGGTCCCAATTGTTCAAGAAATGGTTGGTCATATTTCGCACTCACGGATTGTCTGGAACTGTTATCGTGATGTTGTTGGTTGACCAAAATGATCTCTTGAAGGCACTCCGAAGGTACTCGGAATCACCGAAACCGCCCGCAAGAATAATCCTCTGTATTGGTTAGGACGGATGCGGGGGAATAGGGTGGCCCATACATTGATAACGTTCTTGCCAGCCTCGGCCGTTACGGCTTTTATCTGCTGGCGCACCAGCTTGAGGATTTGCTGGACGACTGGACGGAAGATCTTCTGAAGATCCGCGCTACGGGACTTTTTTAACACCTAAGTTATTCTCTCAGGATCAGTGAGACCTTGGCTTACCTGCTCAAGAGCACTAGACGCTCATCATCATTGAAGTGCTCCGGATTCGCATCTGTTAGCTTCATGTTCAGCGGCAATTCAAACACGTTTTCCTCATCGGAATAGCCAAAGTCCCTCTTGATGCTTTCGAACGCTTTCATGAATCTACTCCCCGGGCCTTTCAACTTCATTGGAAGGTCATCAAATGCATCTCCGAATCTCTCAGACATGAGCTGATAAAGGTTGCGGTCTACAGCAGTGGAACCGCACTTTCCACCTGGATATTCCCCGTCAGTTGTGTCTCACTCAAAGTCCCAAGTGCCTACCAATCCCTGTACACAACTCCCCAAAGGTCAGCTCTGGTTTAACCGTCTCCACCAGATAGGTCGTGATATCCTGCGATGTGAGTTTTCTGCGCAGAATCAAGCCAGTTGGACCTTACCACTGTGCCACCCCCACAGTCACAGACGAGGACACCATCGCCAGGCTGTGCTTCGAGATTAGCCAGCACCATTTTCACAATCAGCTCTCAATACGCACCCTGACCGAACCACCCATTGAGTGAGTCGTGTACTTTCTTAAGGCCGCAATGGCCGCTGCCTCGGGTTCGCTGATCATGAAGATATTATCACAGGACCGGCTCCCGAACCCGGCAATCTGGGCAGCCCTGCGTGTTGCGGATTGTGCCTGATCGGACCATATGGCTGGTACGGTGAACCAGAATTCCAACGGCGTAATGCTGAGCGTCTCTTCGGTGTTTTGCTTCGCAATCGTTCTCAGAATATGCTGATACACCTCGGACAGGTAATCCGCAACCACCTCCACAGCAGTCTTGCCTTCCGGAAGCTTCAGGATTCCCGAGCTAGATGCATCTTCTAAAGTAGAGTCGTCGTATTTAGTCAGCGGGATGTCTTGATCGAGGAGAAGTTTAGTCCAAGAGTACGCGGTCATCCCTGGCTGGACCTGGTAACCCCAGCGTCGGGTTTGAACACTCGGGTTATCTGCGGTGTAAGCAATTCGTGATGGAGCTTTGACAACCGTGTCCACGTCTCTCGCGGGACCAGGCCAGCTGCTTATGATGACAATGTCGTTCAGGTCGTTGCCATTTTTAGTACTGACGTAGCTGGCTCCTACACATGGGTAAATCAGCTTGTATCATGGATGATATTCTTGATCAAAACATGGGGGTAAAATAAGTACCAGTGAACGTAGTGCCATAGTCGACGCCGACTATAATCCTGTGGGATGGAATGAGTGCCAGTGAGTCTAGCTCCTTTAAGAGTCCTTCTACTGGTTTATTCGTCATGGCTTGGTGAGTGTTTCCTGATGTTTGTCTACAAGGCTATATCCTGTCACTTGTATGGTTTCAGGTGGCAGAAACGAGCAGATACTGGCCTTTTTCAACACTTTGCGGCGCAGGTCCCAGACATGGATTATTCTCGCCGGGGTGTTTGAAAAGGCCCACAGCCCCGTTCATGGCAGAGAGCAGCTTCTGATCCACCATGTTTTCTATCCTATCAAGTGGAAAGATACTTGTTGGTCGTATTGAGGAGCATACAAGTATTTAACTAGCTGCGTGCTCAAAGAGGGCCAGCTGACCCGATGACCTCCCAGGATAGGACCAAGGACATGCACATTGATTGTGAGCTATCTTGGCGAGGTAGCAAACATTATAAGCGTTTCTCCGTATTTACCCTGGCCATTCCTCTTGTTGTTGGTCTCATTTGGCTTGCAAACCATCCGACGCCGGACACGCGTTTCGCCGCCCACTCTTTATTTTACTTACACACCAGCCATTTGCTACGACTATTACGAGCACCGTCAGTTGGTTCGCACGATAACATTTCTGAAGTATGAAGCAGCGTTCTTCTGTTCAAGAAGGTCTCAAAGGCCCTGAAAGTGTAAGAGCACCTGGATTCCAAAATACGATATGCTTCCTCCCACAGTCTGCTCATCTCACCACGCTAAAAGCTAATCAAATGGAAACAGGCGCAGAAAGTCACTCATAGGGAGGCCCCGAGCGAGCGGTCAAAGGAACCACATGTCACTCGCTCAGGTAGTCGAGACTCTGTCCTGGGCTCTTTCATAAACAAGGTAATCTCGGCCCAGTCGCATCTAGCTCCTGTGACTGATTGGTACAGATACGTCCATCTCGTGGCCAACAAGTATCTCCTGTCTCTGTCAACCATCGTCGACCGACACCGAGCGCTCGAAGCAACCAGCAGAGCGTGTGCGCTGAACCCAAAGACGGCCGACGGATCGAGAACGCACGCCCCTCCCGAACTGAGTCAGAATATATTTGGATGTTGAAAGAGAAGGATGCGTGCATCCAAAAGCTACAGGCGGAATATGTCAAGTCTGTCCAAGAATATGACGCGCGTATTGCCGATTATACACGCCGGATCGAGGAACAAGAACGGCACATTACGGGACTGGAGCAAGAACGCACCAACCTTGAAAAGCACCTCAACCTGATGAGGGATGAACGCCGGAGACTGGAATCTGTAGCTCTTGTCGCCCAGGAAGGCGCCCTCAAAGCAATGGCAAAGGGAGGCCATGTTCCGAAAGAAGACCGCGTGGTCAGGGACGAGCTGACGAGGCTGCAGGATGCCGTGCGGCAGTGGGCTCGGAAATACGCCGTGGAAACCATGGCAGACATCGACAGTGTGCCTAGCCAGCAGAAGGACCAGGTTATCAAGCATTTGAAAGGCTACTGTATCCAAACAGAGTGGAGTCGTTTCGTCCGCGACGCACAGATTCCTATGAACAAGATCCCATTCGTCCTTGTCGAGTCATTGCTTGCCAAACATATATTTGGCCAAATGTTCATGGATCCCTTCTTCCTGTTCCCGGAGTCGAGCGATGACTCTACACTTCCCGGCAGAGCCAACATGCGCCTATTGTATGATGCCATGAAACAAGGTATGTTCCATATTCCGCCCTTCTATGTCCCTACCGTTGAGCTAACAGCAACGTAGCGGACCAGGCTAAGGCTCATATATGGCGGTCGCAAATCATAAGCGTATTGTCTGATAGCATGCAGAGTAGACTACAGGAGTTTACCGGGGTGTGGATGAACGCCTTCCTCCGTAGCCCTGCTCAGCTGCTTCTTCGCACGATCTCAGACGACACAAGCCTGAGGACGCGCAATGCAGAACTACAAAAGCTGTATCACAGAGCAGGCAAGCTGGCGTTATCCCTCTGGGCTCAGAGAGCGACCATCAAATGCTATGGCCTGTCCCAGTTGCAGACTTTTAGTTCGTCGTCCCCGACGATGAGCGCGCATCGGCTGCATCAGCTTGACGAAGACGATGAATGCCTTGATGGGCGGAAAATCCTGGCCTGTATGCAGCCGGCGGTTTTGGCGTTTGGAAATGAGAGTGGGGAGAATTATGACACTAGTAAGGTATGGGCCAGCGCCGTTGTTCTGGTAGCGGGGGATGAATAGGTGTGATACTTCAGTCATGCCATGTACATATAACTACCTATTACATTTCAAGGAAATGTAGCTGGTCTACTCCTTTCAAGGCCATTTCGAACCTAGCGCATAAGTATCCATGACTTGGAATCTTGGATATGAAACACCTCTGTTCCGTTGTTGGGCCGCGACAGAGTGCGCTAAATGGCGCCAACGACCTCTACCCCAACCGGACTCATCCTAATGACTCCAACACGACAGGGAACCTGCAGTAGCCTCCTGCAGCCTAGCTACGCCGCAATTCGAGGATACGGCCGTCCACCGACCTGTTTCCCCCTTTTTTCACCCTCAATCTCCATGAACAGGGAATGTGATGAGGACCAAGGCGTCACTTCTTCTGAGGGCAACGCCTCGTTCCGCCATGGCAGAACAGCATGTGGCCCTCACAACGAGGAGGGTCATGTTATTTAGACAAAGTGCCTTGCTCCGTGTGTATTTCAGGACATCGGTGCACATCCTGCGGTGGTGCCACGTCTGTTGTCAGTCCCGTGGGACCCGAGGAACGTGCGGAAAATATTCGTGCGGAATTTACCGACGTCGGCAGAGCTCACAAGGATGACAAGGAGATTGCATACATCTGGTCGAGATTCTTCGCCCTCCGTCTCAGCGAAGGATGGCTCATCTCATCCCCATGAAGTCATCCCGGGTGGCATTGACCAAACTGATGGAAAGGAAGGCTAGTGCAGTCAAATATGTTGTCAAGGTTAAGATTGTCTAGACTTTTTACTTCATGTATCTAATCGCTTATCATTATACACTTGGAGCTCATCAATGGACCACACGTAGAAGTAGAGACTATCAGATTTTGTCTTATCCGATATTCAGGTTCTGGAGTCTCGTAAGATGTGAGATCCCACGTTGGTGCACTGTACCTCACAATGACTAATTTCGGTCCCTTTGAAAAGCAATTCAACAGTGCTGGGAGGTGACAGTACTTCATGACAAGCTGGATGCCAAGGAAGAGAACGGTGTCCTTGACTTGGTACCTCGATTCAACTAAATGAAAGCTCCCCAATCCAAATGAGCTCTTCGGCATGGCTGTAAGGGTTGAAACATCTCTTCAAATCGACAAACCGAGAACACTGGAACGTGGCATTGAACCCCGTTGGCATTTCTTTGTCAGGGCAATGAGGCTCGGAAAACCGTGGTCCTATTTTCCATCACTTGAGACAAGCCTTTGTCCCTCCGCTGTTGACGGCTTCAAAGGGAAGCTGAAAGACTGTGGCCAACAATGCCATGATAATGGAGGGTCTAGGACATAGAATAGATCCATTGTTGTATGTCTAAGATAACCGTCCTATGCCTAGAAAGATGTCTCGATCCCCAATATAAATATCACTCCGAGTCTATCATTAACACCATCATCTTCTCCCTCAACTCTCTTACACTCCTCAGTCTCTGCAATTTCACCCCCAGCACTACCTACAACAGTCTGAACAACCCAACTTCCACCCACTAAAACTACAAGCACTGGGCCGGATACCTCACTCACAATGCCAAGGCAACCCAAGTTCAAACTCCGCGAGGCCCGCACCTACAGAAGCTTCCTTTTGATTCGCCCCGATGACCCCGACCTCCCGGCTCTGAAGATGCTCAAAGAAGTGTTGAAGATCCTGCAGGCCGGCCAGGGTAACTTCTCCCCCCGTCGGGAGTCCTTTCCCGACACGCAGGTAGGCGATCTGATCTTCGAGATCATCACCGAGGATAATTCTTTCCAGGGACTGACCGATGCTGCCATGCAGTGCATCACACAGCAGATTGAGAACTGGGATTATGACAAGGACATGATCAGATGGGAGCAGTACGTCGAGGGGATGGTTCTGATTGACTATCGGTACCTGCACTAGGTGAGCGTCCAGAGTTGGGCAGGGTGGTGGGATCTTTCTCAGCATGCTTTTGAATGGACTATGGCATATTGCTGGAACTGTACTTTACTCGATTGATCTGCTTCTGGGAGAGCTATCACTGCTTTTTGCGTACACAATCAAGTCCAAGGTCAAAACGTCTGTGTTGTTGCATCTTTACGGTAGGGCATGAATATATTGAGTACAGACAATGTACAACAAGCTATGCTTTCTGAACAAAGTTACATCATGGAAATTCCATAATGTGGTGCCATTTGCTGAAAGATCAACATTGCATTGGCTCCAATCTTCAGGGCTCCTCGAGCCACGATGCTGAAAATCAATGGGCCTGGTATGAAGGGATTTCCAGTGAGGCGCGGTAAATTGAGATTGATGATTGGATAGGCAAGTGATGCTTCCTACGGCGAACACCCTACGTAATCTGACCACCATCATCTGGCTCACCTACTCACCTTGACGAAGACACACCTCATCAACTGCAAGTGAAACGATTAGTCTAACAGCGTCTATTGCAGGATATCTATGAATTCATTCCTCATACCTCGAAATCACGATGTGTAGCCAATATCCCTACTTGGAAGCCCGCTAGTGTGCCAAAGTCCGTGGCTTGCAGGCTCCCCGCGACTTTCGAGAATTTGATGTTGATTGGTGTTATTTTTAGAATAGCCATTGGATCTTAGTGGTTAGCAGAGAGATTGGCGGCAGTAATAAGGCTGAGCCAAGCAGCTGCGGGGAACCGTGTAACGCGATAGGGGCTGAATGGAAGGGGTTGGCCACCCTACATGTCCGATAGCTGGGTCGTCGCCCAACTCGCTACCAGCGGCATTCTCCTAGGTTGATGTTTACTCTGAAACTCGGAAGAGCAAGTCCATCCCAGATAACCATTAAACCATGGAACAGGCGGTGTCGACCAAGCACAACGGAGAGCCGAATCCTCTTGACAGTACAGGCCTCTGTTTGCTGGCCCTCGACGGCGGCGGCGTGCGAGGGCTCTCATCGCTCTACATCTTGAAAAGCATCATGGATCGACTGAACCACGAACGAAAGAAGAACAGCCTTCCTTCCGTGAAACCATGCGAAGTGTTCGACCTTATCGGAGGCACCAGCACCGGCGGGTAGGTAGACCTGTTCCTCGAGGAAATGTGACTTACTCAACCGTCACGACAGGCTGATTGCGATCATGCTTGGTCGGCTCGAAATGGACGTCGATGAATGCATTGCCGCGTACACCGATCTCGCGGCCCACGTCTTCGGCGAGAAATTGAGCCGTTTTCCAGTCAACATCAGAGGTGGAGTCAAGCCGCGATTCGATTCTGCAAGATTAGAAAGCGCGATCAAAAAGGTGGTAACCCAGAAGAGTGTGTCAGAGACAGACTTGCTCAATGATGGGAAGGAGCGCGGATGTCGGACGTAAGTGCTCGACCTATGTGATGCCCAGGTTCTGATAAGAACAGCTTTGTATGTACGATCAACCGCGATACAAAGGACATGGTCCGTCTCCGAAGTTATATCTTGACTGATTGGCCGGATATTCCTGCGACAATTTGCCAGGCTGCCCTTGCGACGTCCGCCGCCACCACCTTCTTCGATCCCGTTAGTATCGATGACCGTACGTTCGCGGATGGGGGTTTTGGCGCAAATAATCCCGTGGACGAAGTGGAAGGAGAAGCATCTAATATCTGGGGCTCGGACGAGAAAGATCTGAAAGAACTGGTCAAGTGTTTTATATCAATCGGGACAGGGAATCCTGGCAAGAAAGCATTCGAAGACGGCATGATCAAGTTTCTTAGCGCGACGGTCGTGCAGATCGCAACGGAGACAGAGGCTACGGAGAAAAGGTTTATAGAAAGATGGGCTAAACACTTCGACGAAAACCGGTATTTCCGTTTTAATGTCGACCAAGGGTTGCAGGATATTGGACTGGATGAGTTCAAGAAGAAGGGCGCCATCAAAGCGGCTACGGAAGGGTACCTCACTCACGTAGCACAAAGGCACCGTGTGCGAGACTGTATCCAGAACTTGAGGCTCAAACAGAGTGTGTATATTGAAAATTTCGCATAGTTGTTCAAGGCATAATTTGACTGATATAAACAGACAAGACCGAAACATCCTTTGGCGCCGTGGTAGATGTAAGTCCAGTGGTACTCTGTTAGCCATTCTCTTACTAATTTGCGCAGGAATACACCATACGCACGATCCGCCAGCAGTCAGGTATGATGTTCAAAAGCTCCTACTGCTCCTACTAACTCTCATGCAGCCGCGCGTCACAGAACCTGGATTGTGCCATTTGAAAGGAATCCTCGCTTTACAGGCCGCGAGCCTCAGCTTGCTGAGATTGAAGGAAAGCTTTTTACTAGGGATCATACCGCAAAAATTGCAATTACGGGTCTAGGTGGCGTAGGAAAGACGCAGCTGGTGCTTGAACTGCTCTACCGAATGAAGGATAAGCACAAGCATTGCTTGATTATCTGGATACCCGCAACCAACGGGGAAAGCCTTCATCAAGCATACCGTGACGTCGCGCGGCAGCTTAGAATACCCGGCTGGGAAGAGGAAAAGGCAGACGTCAAGAGACTTGTGCAGGGACACCTGAGCAAGGATGACGCAGGCCAGTGGCTGGTCGTGTTTGACAACGCCGATGACATTGATGTGTGGATCGCCAAAGTTGGATCTAAGCACGAGTCGGAAGAGGGATCCCGGGGTTTACTCGACTACCTGCCGAGCAGCGGTCAAGGATCCATCATCTTCACAACGCGTGACAGGAAGACAGCGGCCAAGCTCGCACGCCAGAATGTCGTGGAAATTCCGGAGATGGAGGAAGAGGCCGCTACGCAGCTACTGCAGAAGTGTCTCATCAATCCGGGCGTTGCCAACAACCGGCTTGACGCAGCTGTCCTTCTTTCAGAGCTCACTTATCTACCACTAGCTATCGCCCAGGCAGCCGCGTACATCAACGAGAACGGAATAACACTTGGATGTTATCTATCACTCCTAGCGGAGCAAGAAGAGGAGGTTATCGCTCTTCTCAGCGAAGAATTTGAGGATGATGGGAGATATCGCAACGTGAAAAACCCAGTGGCCACGACGTGGCTAATCTCATTTGAGCAGATTCAGCAGCGCAATCCTCTTGCAGCCCAGTATCTGTCATTCATGTCCTGTGTAGATCCGAAAGAGATTCCGCAATCTCTTCTTCCGCCAGGGTCGTCGCGGAAGGAGGAGACGGACGCCATTGGAACACTAAATGCCTATTCTTTTGTCAGCAGACGTCCCGCGGACCCGGTTCTCGATCTCCATCGACTGGTGCATTTGGCTACGCGGAACTGGCTTCGAAGAGAACGGAAGCTTGCTCAGTGGACGGAGAGAGTAATTGTGCGGCTAGAGGAAGTGTTTCCGGACTATGATCACAAGAACAGAAGTGTCTGGAGGAGATACCTACCACACGCGCGTTATGCACTGCAAGCCGATCTTACCGACAAACATTGGACGTGCAGAATGGATCTTATCTGGAGATATGGCCTGTGTCTCGATCAAGACGGACAATGGGATGATGCTGAGGTTGCATTTACACAGGTCCTAGAAATGAGAAAGAGGGTGCTTGGGCCGGACCACCCTTCCACGCTGGCCAGCATGGCCGCCCTGGCATCAACCTACTGGGGTCAAGGACGATGGAATGAAGCTGAGAAGCTGGAGGTACAAGTAATAGAGACTTCTAAGACAGTGCTAGGAGCTGAGCATCCTGACACTCTAATCAGCATGATGAACCTGGCCTCAACCTACTCAAATCAAGGACGGTGGAATGAAGCTGAGAAGCTGAAGGTGCAAGTAATAGAGACTTCTAAGACAGTGCTAGGAGCTAAGCATCCTGACACTCTAATCAGCATGGCGAACCTGGCATCAACCTACTGGGATCAAGGACGATGGAATGAAGCTGAGAAGCTGGGGGGGCAAGTAATGGAGATAAGGAAGGCAGTGCTAGGCACTGAGCATCCTGACACCCTGACCAGCATGGCAAACCTGGCATCAACCTACTGGGGTCAAGGACGTTGGACTGAAGCTGAGAAGCT